CCCTACAGTGGCCAAACAAGGACCTACGACTGCCCAGGAAGAGCCCATGACGGCCTCCGAGGGCAAGGAGGCCCCCAAGAGCTCTAAGAGGTCCCCGGGAGGTCCCAGGAGACCCTCAAGAGGCACCAGGAGGTCCCCAAGATGCCCCTTAGAGCCTACCCCCAACGGCTCCCAGAAAGTTTACAAGAGCCCCACGAGAGCCTCAAGAGGCCCCCAGTTATTCCTCCTCCTCCTCCTCCTTCTACTCATCTTCTCAATATTCCTTTCCCCATTGTTCCCCCAAGGGTCCACAACGGCTGGGGGGAAACATAGTCCGATACCTTGGTCTGATTTCGGCCCAATGTTTGTCCGAGCTGGCGTTTGCCAGCTGCAGGAGATGACGGTGATTCGCCGTAGGCGTCTTCGATGAACAAAAAACAATCATGGTGTACCAACGAGCTCGATGCCCCCCACACGCAGCATGCATATATCATGATGGCTCTCCACTTCATGGGGATTTGTTCATGCATCGGCGGGCCGATAATCCCTCACCCGAATGTCCCGCACGAGCATGTTTCGCCAACGCCTCTTACGAGGCGTTTTGCCACCTTGAGCTCTGACGACACATCGACTGAATCCTCACATGTCCCAAGAGCGGGAGGACCACACCAACTCCAATTTGCGCAATGTGGTGCGCTTTGTTCCCAACCATCCTGCGGTGTCGGGTCCTCGTTTTGAAGAGACGGCGCCTCACGTTCTTCCCCTCTCTTTCCTCCTCCTCCTCCTCTTCCTCCTCCTCCCTCCTCCTCCGTGGCCCCTTTGGGAACTCCACCTATGGTCTCCGTGGCGCAGTCCGCATGGCATCCCCGCCCCATTTTGCACACCCCTCACACTTTTCGTTGCCCCTTAGGGAGCTCCACGTATGGTCTCACTGGCGCAGTGTGCATGGCATCCCCGCCCCATTTTGGCACACCCCTCACACGCTTCGTGGCCCCATAGGGGGCTCCACCGCAGGTCCCAGTGGCGCAGTCCGCATGGCGGCGCCGCCCCATTTTGGCACACCCCTTACACACTTCGTGGTCCCATAAGGGGCTCCACCGCAAGTCCCAGTGGCGCAGTCCGCATGGCGGCGCCGCCCCATGTTGGCACACCCCTCACACGCTTCGTGGCCCCATACGGAGCTCCACGTAAGGTCCCAGTGGCGCAGCCGAGTTGCGGCACCGCCCCATTTTGGCACACCCCTCACACGCTTCGCGGCCCCATACGGTTTCGTGGCCCTTTCGGGAACTCCACCTAAGGTCCCTGTGACGCAGTCCGCATGGCGGCGCCGCCCCAATTGGGGCACACCCTCACACGCTTCGTGGCCCCATAGTGAGCTCCGCATAAGGTCCCAGTGGCGCAGTCCGCATTGCGGCGCCGCCCCAATTTGGCACACCTCCTCCGCCCTCGCGCCAACTCCGCGCAGGTGACGACCCGCGCACGTCGCCGGGACTCCTTCAAGGCGACCAGCGCGCGTCGCGGGGACCCCGTGCGGCGCCGCGCCCGCAGCCTTGGACATGGGCGTGCACAGGCAGAGCAGAAGAACAATACCGGGAAGGAAACGGGCGCGATCCTCGTGAGGGGCGTGTCGACATGGGCGTCGCGGAGTGCGGGCGCTGCCGTCGGGGTTCCTGGGGAAGCTTCCTGCGGCGGCCACGTGCACTGTCACGAGTACTCAGGGTCAGGCATACGTGAACCATTCACATTCGTATGCATTTACACCAGGGCGGGGCCATCCTGGAACGAACAAGCGAACGAACGCCAGATCCGTGCGCACGCCGCGTGGGCGCCCGCACGCGCCCGTTTGGGCGTGGCGGTGGAGGCCGTAGCCTCGAAGCGGGAATCACATCTGGTGTATCTGGAGAGAGCATGCAATGCTGTATGTATGTATATGTATATACATACATACGTACATATATATATATATACATACTAGAACCATCGCGCGCGCTTCGCGCGCGCTCAAGTTCTAGCCAGGATCCTCACCATCGTCATCATCGCAATCATCACCATCGTAGTCATCGTCATGGTCGTGTTCACCATTACCATCACCAGCACAACCATCATCATCACCACCATCATCGTCAGCATCGTCAGCACCATCGTCATCATCGTCGTCGTCATCGTTGTCCTCACTATCATCGTCGTCGTCATCATCATCAGCATCATCATCGTCAGCATCAGCATCAGCATCATCATCATCATCATCATCATCTTCGTCGGCGCCGTCGTTGTGCTCGTCATCCTCATCATCAGCGCCGTCGCCGTCATCATCATCGGTCTAGTCCAGTCTTCCAGCAGCCCCCATCCTCTCAAAGCTAACATGTGCACGCGTGCACGTAACCACCAATGGCAGGAGCATGAACTGGAGAGGTAACAATGGCGCAGACCGAACAGGGCCGTAGTACACACGAGGGCGCACACAGACGTATCGAATGCAACGCCATGCAGACCAATGCGAGTAGTAAAACAAACGCCAAACGTTGCAAATGCAGCGCGATTCACAGCATTATTGTTGAATTGAAATGCAATGCACATGCTACTCAATGCAGGCAGCTCAACGGAACGGATCGGAAGGAAGAAGGGGTGCATATGAAAGTGTCCGAAATCGCATGGGGCTCGTTTCGGTGCCTGCTCGGGGGCTCTTGGGGGCCTCCCGGGGGGCTCTTGGGGGCCTTTGGGAGCCTCTAGTGGTTTCTGGGGATGCTCTTGGGGCCGAGGGCCCGTAAAGTGCGCTCGGATCCCGCGTCTGGGCCCCTTCTTGGAGCCGTGTTGGGACTCTCTTGGGCCGTCTTCGAGGCCTCTTAAGCGGTCCCGGGGCGCTCTTGGGCCGTCTTGGGGCCGTCTTGGTGGCCTCTTGGGCCGTCTTGGGGCGATCTTGGGTGCCTCTTGGCCGTCTTGGAGCGCCAGGGAGCCCAAAAGGAGAGAAAGCCAAAAACATCGAAAAACACAATGGAAAATCAACGATTCGAGCCTCTTGGGGCCCTCTTGGAGAGCCTCTTGGAGGCCTCTTGGGGCGTCTTGGAGGCCCCTTGGGCCGTCTTGGGACCATCTTGGGCGTCTTGGAGCGATCTGGGACCGCCTCGGGGCCCTCTTGGACCATCCTGGGGGCCTCCTGGGGCCGTCTTGGAGGCCTCTTGGGTCGTCTGGAGGCTCCTTGGAGGCTCCTTGGAGGCCCCGGGGAGGGGGTATTAAAAAGCGTTCCCCGATGGTTGCGGAGTGGGCGGCCCCGCCGGGGGAGGGGGGGGCCTATTTGTTTATATTATATATACATATATATGAAGAATGCGGAAAGGAGGGAGGGAGGGAGGGAAAGATCTTTGATGTCGGTGTCGGCGCAAAGCTCGGTATGCTTGCGTGTGTGTGTCTGCGTGGCAGGGCCATCGGGGGAGGCAGGGAGGGAGGGGGAAGTCCTTGACGTCGATGTCGGCGTGATGCTCGTTCACGTGTTGATGTAGTGGTGCTCGAGGTTATACCACGTGGTGGTGTCATGGGCCGTTGGAACCCACGTGAGTTCGTTAGGCTGCCCCGTGTGGCGCGTTGGAGCCTGGGCTGGGTGGAGGTCCGGCCTGTGCCGTCGTAGGTGTGCAAGGACTTCGTCATCCCAGCGTTTGTGCTGGCGGCCGTGTTGTCGATGTGCGTCAGGCTGCCAGTGCAAAGCCATCCATGTCCACCTGGTGGGCGCGTGGTTGGCCACTGTTGCTGCCATTCTCCATAGCTTCTTTCTGTGTGTCGTCACCAAGCTGTCTACTTCGTGGAACTTCATGAGCTGCACCGCGCGTCGCGTGACACGTTGGATGTATTCGACCCAAGGCTCACTGAGGTCCGCGTCGTTGTCGTCGTTGGTGCCATCACTGCTACGAGCTGCACTCATGCAATTTTTTTTGGGGGGGGAAGAGGGAGGAAGAGGCGAAAAGGAGACAACGCACACGCCCGCTTGCTGTCCATCTCGCATATCATGCCGTGGAGTCCGGGGGCCACGCCACCCTGAGTCGAAAACAGCACAACAGGACGTGATGAGAGGTAGATCCGCTTCCCCTCGAGGGGGCTATGACCGCAACCACCGATGAACTGCAGCGAATCGCGTTGAAACTCCATAGCTGTGGATCGAAAGTGGCCGGCCGGGTAAACGTCACCACTTTCAGGGAGGAGGGGGAGGAGGAGGAGGAGGGAAAGGAGGAAGGAGGAAGAGGAGCGTGCCACATGAAAATATCCCCCGCGGCCGGAACAGCCATCGATATCACATAGCGGGCACAGGGTGAGACAAACAACGCACTGATAAAGAACCACCCCCGGTTTTTATCGTGTCGAGGGCGCGGTAGGAGCGCTAAATGCGCGATGCAGCGGGGCGGGAGGGGGACCGAAGGGGGAGAGGCGGGGCAGAGGAAGTGAAGAAATACACCTAGAAGCATCCCTTATGATTGCACGGCGGCGACGCCGGGATCCACCAGAGACGTGGTAGCGAGAGGAACCGGAGATAACTATAGGCGCCACGGGAAAATGCAGGAGGAGGAGGAGGAGCGGGGGACCTGACACCAGGTGGCCACGGTGCTCACGGAGGCTGCCCCGAATGCGTATGTTTCACGGTACTCCGGTGGCGGCAGGAAGCAAGCACAGTCGTTGAAATCTCGGGCAGCTCTTGCACGTACAAGCTGCCTCGTGTGAGAAATGAGGCCTCGCCTCGACATGATTCCGCCGGAAGTGCGACTCCATCGCCGGGAACTTCACTACACAGCTTCGACTCCACCGACTGTCCGGTGCATTCTGTCGGCACCAATCTGCCCACAGCGGCCCGAGAAGAGGTTAACAAAATGTCCCCCCCCAGGCTCCTTGTTCTCCTAAGCAGTGGCGAAAATGTGCACACATATTGGTACACTGTGTGGCGGCATCCTTGTTTCTGACACACATGGCCGAACGCGCGATCAGAGGGAGAGGGAGGAGGAAGGAGGAGGAGGAGGAGGAGGAAGGAGGGAGACGAGGCGTCACGATTGGGCTCCGCGCCACGCGTGCGCGACCCTCGGGCAGCGGGCGCTGGCGTCGCGGATAAACTGTAGCATCGCGCTGCGTACGGCCTGCGTGCGCAGGCCGCGGTGTCGGGCGTGACAGTGCGCCGAATAAAGGGAGCAACCTGCCAGCACGCGGCGCAGGACGGTCACTTCGGTCGCGTCAGAGAATGCAGGGCGCAGCCCCAAGAAGAAGTCGCCCTGTTGTCCAGGCGGCGGCGCCTGAAGCCCGAGCTCGTCCCCGCAGAACTGCCGGAAAACGGGGCAGCAAAAGTAATGGCGCAAGCCGTCCCTCGCAGCGCAGCCGAAAATGCAAATGGAATCGCCTCCCATGCGTTCCGCAGTAGCCCAGCCGTCCAGAAGCGACCGGAGGCACGCGTGCCAGACACGCGGCGGCACAATCGCACTGAGGCGCTCCAGCAAGCTGACTGCCCTGTGCACGCGGTGCCCGGGGAGGGTCGCCAGGTCGAAGCGGTCCAACTGTCGCCGAAGATGCCCCGAAATAGACCGTCGATCGCCAGAAGATGTATGATTTTCAAACACTCTCTCTGCCAACTCTTCCGAGCATCGGCCTCTCGGTCCGCCCCGCCGGGGGCGCCGGTCAGGCGGGCCATCATGGCGGCAGCGTCATACCCGCGCTCGCGCGCCAGCCGCGTGGCAGCAGCCAGCTGGTGGAGAAAAACCGCGCCCCACCAGCGACCCCAAAGCGCAGCGCGGTCGGGGAAGCTGCAAGCGTAGCGGGCGCGGCGTAGTGCATCGGAGCGAAGGTCGACCCGAAGCCCTCCGTTGCGACGGTCCTCCCATTTGGCCACGCGGCACTTGGCCGCCAGCGCCGTCTCGTGGACGTTCACGAGACCCACTGGACTACCAAGGTGTTGGAGGGCACGCAAGAACGGAGGTGGTAGCCAGCACTGGGGGCCGCGGAACAGCGCCGCGCATGCCCTGCGCTCTGCGTCCTCGAACTCGGCAGGCACGCCGTCCAACTGCCCCAGGAAAGTTAGGACCGATGCGACATACACCCGATACGCAACCAGACAATGGAAGGCCCCGCACCCAGTCTGGCCCCAGACCTGCGCTCGATCCACGTACTTGCGCAATGCCTTGTGCCACGTGAGCGAGCCGCGCTCTGGGCCGAGGACAAAGCCCAAGTACTTCGCGTGGTACTGAATACTGAAATCCGCGAGCGTCGGCGCGACCCGCGCGAGCAGCTGCCAGACTTGGCCTGCGGCGGCAGGGAGAAGCGGCACCACTGCTGTTTCGCCGTGGCACAACCGGAGTCCCGACAGGGCCTCGTACTCCTCGAAGATGCGTTCCAGCACAGGGGCCCCCGTCTCGATGTCCTGCACCACCACGGCCAAATCGTCCGCGTACGCGCGCCTGCGCGAGTCAGGAACCAGTCGGGCGAGCCGACGCAGCAGCAAGTCGGCCGCCACCGCAAATAGGACTGGAGATAGAGGACACCCCTGCCGTATTCCTGCCTTCTGGTCGAAGCCTCCGAATCGCATCCCGCAGACAGACAGGGAACAGTAGTTCCGCGAATAGAGGATGCGGATGACGCGGAGGATGTGAGGCGGGATGCCGATGGCCGCGAAAAGGTCGAATAGAAAATCGTGGCTGACCGACGGGAGCGCCGCGGCGAAGTCATAGAATACTGCCCCGCCGTCCTGCTTCGCGAAGGACGTCTGCTGCATTGCCTCGCCAATGTCCACTACGTTCGCCAGCATGGACCGCCCCCCGATGAAGCCGTGCTGCTCGCTGGAAGCGTGGTCGTCGAGCACCGCCTCAATTCTCAGCCGCGCCGCGTTCGCCAACAAGCGGTTGTCCGAATTGACTATGTTAAGTGGGCGGGTGTTTTCTGCTTCCAGCACGTCGTCCCCGTCGGGCGTTTTTTCTGTGGACACCTTCGGCAGAAACACCATGAGGCCGTGGCTGAAGTCCGCGTAGTCGCTCTCCATGAGATGCCCACCGTCGCCGGACAGCATTGCCTGGAGAGCCTCGTGCAAGGTGTCAACGGCCAGCTCGCCTAGGGCGCGCCACGCGCCGAAAGAGATGCCATCGGGCCCAGTGGCAGAATTGCCGGCCACCTGAAGAGCCTTGCGGACATCGTTTCGTCGGATCTGCCACCTCGGGTCCGACGGGTTGAGAACCGCACCACGTTCCAGCGCTCGCGCGTCGTCCTCCAACCACCCGGACCGGAGGGCAGCGTCTGTGGCCTTGCGCTGCAAAAAGTCTTGCCAATGTTCCTTCAGGCTGGAAGCAATCCCATCTGGAGTGAGATGGACGCGCCCCCTGCGGTCTTTCACCGCGCTGAGGCCGCCCTTTCGACCAGGGCAGATCCGCGACAACAGCCGGAAGTTTTTCTGTCGGATTCGAGACTGCGCAAGCGGGTCAACAGCGCCCTCGCCATCCTGCAGCCGCTGGAGGCCGTCCATGGCAGACTCGCGAGCCAGCGCGACAGCGTGATCCCGAAAAGCCTGCAGCTTGGACAAGTCTCCCTCTGCTGCCGCGTACGGGTTCCCGGTGATCGTCTGGAGAGCGGGGTACCACTGCAGGCATTCACCGAGAGTCGAGACATTGCCCTTCTCGGCAGCGCGGATGAAACGCATAGTAGCGCCAAGCCGGTCCTCCTTGTCCACGGCCTCCTCGCAGGGGCCCGGGGTCCAATCGTGCGTCGCGCCCACGTGCTTCATGGACTCCTTGAGGATAACGAGACGTCGCACGGCCGAGGGAGAGTTGAGCTGGTCGAGGCGGTCGCCGTGCTCGAGGGCGACCTTCCGCACCCAATCCAGGTCGCGGCGGGCTTGCTCCGGAATCGGCCGCTCGCTGCCCAGCAGGGCCTGCGGACGACGACGGGTAAATGCAACGGCGCGATGGGAGGAGAGCTGCGGGACCCAGTCGTGGACCCTGCACAGGACCTGACGGTCCAACTGTTCCGCCATGTGCTGGTTACAATAACATCGATCCAAGCGAGACCGCGCATTGGGGGCGGAATGCGTCATGTTTGGCTGCCACATCTCATGGAGACCATGCCGAGCAGCAACAATATTCCGCCAGTGGGTCTCCTCGCGGAAATCCCGGCTGCCCGATGCCACGGCGGAGCTGCACGTGCGTCTGTCCGCATCTTCCGTGACGTAGTTGAAGTCGCCTCCGACCACCGTGAGGGCAGCCGCAGCGGCAACCATTTCCTGGGCGAGTCGCGCCCGGAGGGCGCGTCGTAAGACAGGAGACGATGGGGTGCCGTGGTCTCGCTCCGCCCCGAGCGCCTCGCAATCTTCTGGTGCCACGTTTGACCCTGTAGGAAAATACACCACCCATAGGTCGAGAGCGCCATGCTTGCCCCGAAGTTTAAGAACCGCGGCGCGACCCGGCATGACAATCCGCCAGCGTGTGAGCCGCTCGTCAAACATCTCCAAAAACGTCTTCTTCACAGTAATGCCGACCCCGGCACGGCTCGTTGAGTGCCACGGCGCCCACCAAGATTTGCATCCAGATGGCCCCCGCCAGGCTGCGTTGCCTCCCTCGGACCCATGGGTCTCCGTCCAAAGTCCGACGTCCGCCGTCTGCATCAAGCGGTGGACGTACTCAGCCTTGCTGGAATGTTTGGCCGCATCAGCCGCGAAGAGCGCCTGCGTGTTCCACGTCGTGGCAACGACGTCGCCGGTGAACTGGCCAGGGCGCGCGCCAACTGATGGCGGGCCCGTGGCTGGCCGAGGGCACGAGCGAGGCACTAGGGAAGAAAGGCCAGAGCTAGCCTGGCCCAGCGCCCGGCGGAGCCGAACGCGTCGGTACATACAGAGAGGCACGTCGTCGGACCTGTGCCTGTCGGAGTGCCGCGGGACCACCTGACCGCCCCCAAAAGGTAGCGCAGGGAGAGCGGGGCGAAGTCGCAGAGGCTGTGGATGAACTGGAGCGTGACCTGCGTGAAGCCCGTGGCGAGGGCTAGAGTAAGGAGAAAAACGAGAAGTAGAACATGAAGATGAGAATCTCGAACGCTCGGATCCGGCAAGGACGCGGCCGCGCGCGCTCGGCACCGACGCGGCGTGGAGCGCGAAGGCGACGTCCAGCACCCAGAAGGCGCGACCGTCGAGCTCATGCACTTGAATTCCAATAGTTGCGCCGGCCTCGAATGGCACCACGACGGTGCGGAAGAGCGGCGTGCCTACCGCCTCCCCCGCAGGCCGTTTCCCGGAATCGCCTCCATGGCCTCGTTGTGGACCGTGATCACAATGCGGTCGGTCCCGGCCTCCACGGTCTGGTTGTGGAGGGCGGCGTAAACCTGGGAGACCTCCTCCTGCGAGCTCAGGTGGACCCGAACTCTCCCTGGCGGGGCCTCCGGGCATCGGGGGGCCAGGTGCGTCCACTCCCCTGCCTGCGGCGCACGGTCGCTCGGAGCCTCCACGCATTGCAACGGCGAGTGAGCATTGAGGTGACTCATGATAGCTCGCATCACCTCGAGGTCCTCCTGACCCACCTCGCCTTGCACACGGACCTCCGTGAAGTGGTCAATCGGGCAATTCGCCCGCGCTCCTCTGCCCTTCCGCCGCCGTGAGGCTGTCAGCAGGGCGGTCGTAGCCTCGGGAGTGACGAAAGGGCGGCCTCCCTGCATGGAAGCTTTGTGTCGGATTCGCGTGACCGCCTCCTCCGGGCATTCCCGCAGCAGGTCATCCAATAGAGGTCGCCACGTCTCCACGGTCGCCTCGGTGTAGATGAGAGCCTTGCTCGAGGACAGCACGACCGCTTGGGAGCACAGCGGCCAGATCTTGAGAAGCGCACGCGGCGAGTTGTACTCGACTATGAGAGCATCCTCGCTGCTGAATAGCATGCGATGCCCATAAAACACTCTGTCGCCGAAAACCGTGCGGCGAAGATGGCGCATCCGTAAGAGCTGCTGTAATGAAGGCGTGTACGCCGGAAATACAACCTCCAGCTGCGTGCGCGGGAGGTCTGACGTAGACAGGAAGCTCGTCGAGGGGCTCCTGCACGAAACGTCCTGGAAGTCGGCCGAGCGAAGCGTGCGCACGATCCTGGAGAGATCGTCGGTCGGCAGGTCGATGTAGACGGACTCAACAGCCGACGTGCGAAAGATCGGAGCGGGCGTCGAGAGCAGACTCGGCAGCGTCCGCAAGCCGGTGTGCTTTATGGTGAAGACCGCGAGGCCCTGGTGGACAAGCCGGGGCCCCGTCCGACCCGCGACGACCTGCTCCAATGGCATCGCCGTGAGAGCAATGCCGCGCACCTGGGTGAGGTACAGGGGCGCACTACCCATCAGAGGGTGCGTCCACAAGTTGGTGATCCTCGTCACGGAGTCCATCCCTGGGCAGCAGACGGGGATCGGCACCACCATCCGCAGAGAGGCAGGGCGTCCATCGCCCCCACGCCGGAGAAGGCACCGGCCAGAATCCTTGACAACGCGTTGCTATCCTCCGGGGCCCATACCACCACCGCCCGCCCCGCAAGGAAATCCAAGGCGGCCTCGTCTCCCTTCTCGAGGCGAACCGCCAAGTCTCGTGCGTCACGAGGGGCTGCAAGAGAACCGTGCCGACAACCGAGGACGTCGGACCACTGCGTGTAGCAGACCTCCGCGTCCACCGTCGCCGAGCGGCGGAGTATCTGCAAGCTCTCCTCGCCCAGCTCCTTCCACAGGGGGAGCTTGGAGGTCTTGATCTGTCTGCGCTTCTTCAGCACCTCGTCCAGCTGGTCGCCGCACTCATTGGCGGCGGAGGCAAACTTAGCGGCCGCATCCTGCGCCCTGGCCTTGTCCGCCGCGGGCCAATGCGAGGACAGGCCAATCTCGCAGAGCCATCGCGCAGTCCTGGCTCTCGCGGAGATCGCCGTCGCAGGTTGTACGCGAGCTTCCTGAAGATCGTCTCCATGTCTGCCCAACCCGTTTGGCAGCGCACCTGGAGCGTCGCGCTGCCAGGGTCCGCGCGCTGAGCTGCGCGGACAAGGTCCATGTGGACTAGCACCTCGTTCTCGATCAACTCATGCAGCAACCCGGCGGGCACGTCAATGGGCAATGCCACCGCCTCCCCACCCCCCTCCTCATCGATCTCGATGGCGCCCAGCGCGGCCAGCTCCGCGGCCACGGTGTCGGAGTCGCCGAAGCCGAGGTCCGCCATGCCCTGCGTGGCGCCGGAGCCCGCGACCTCGGTGTCCATGCTCGCTGGCGGAACGCCGCCCTGCCCTGGGGCGGGAAGCCCTGGCGGCAGCGGCGGCGCGCCCGGAAGTGCCTGGCCGCAGCGCCGGCATCGGCCCTGCTCGTCCGCCATGGCCGGAAGCGCTCCGCAGAGCGGGCATGCCGGATGCGAGCACGCCATGGCTTCGGCGAGGGGCTTCCGCACGAAAACGTAGCCCTAGCAGTATGGTCGCTTGAGCCAGCCACTTGAGCCAGGCTTGAGTCGGATTTCTTGAGCCAGAGCTGCACTCATGCAATCATGCTCGCATCCATGCAAATATACCCACTCGCACGCAGACTCATTCAAACTCAGACTCACTCGCGCTCAGACTCACCCGCGCTCAGTCTCTCGTAATTCGACCAATCGCCTTCATTCGTGTTGTGTACCCCGCCACGCAATTCGGCACACCCCTCATGCGGTTCGTGGCCCCGTAGGGAACGCCACTGAAGAAGATATTCACAATTGCGGTACTCACAACTGCATATGGTTGGGTCCTTCGCCAGGCTAATTTTTGGCAACGCGTGGGGGAGAATGAAATGGAACCACCTCGCAGCCACAACATTACGCGTCGTTGGACATGTTGCTGCGTGGGCTGGCAGGGTGGCGAGCTAAGCGGTCACGCTCTGGCAAAGAAAACCTGACACCCCCAAGGCCGCGACTTCTCGGAAATTACTCTGGATCCGCGCACCCACGGCGACGATTCCTTATCGAATGGCTTACGGAAAGGCGGGCACTGAACGAGGAGGGGCCCCTCGAAACCTGGGGAAGGGGCGCCAGCGGCAGAGGCGGAGGTGGAGGGTTATGAAGTCTCATCTGCTCTTTTTCTCCCTCCATCCTGCCTCCCCTCCCCTCCCCCCGCCCCTTCCGATGAGTTGAAGGTGGGGGGGGGGAGGGGGAGGGGAGGAGGAGAATGAGGACGGAACGGCGATGACAATGGCTGGGGCGGGGGAAGGGGTAGCGCGGGGGGGGGGAGCGCGAGGTAAGATGAGGAAGAGGATGCGGAGGAATAGATGGGTGAAGCTGATGAAAATAATGACCACGGGCGGCGGGGAAGATGGGGTGGATCTTCTCCCCGTATTTCTCCATCATGTCTCTGCGCACGTAGGTATTCCCCCCGCCCCATCCTCTTCGCCCGCCCCTCCGCCATTGTTCCGTATCTTCCATTCCCCTCCCCCGCCGAGGAGATATGGTACTGATGATGACGAGGCGGAGGGGTGATGACACTCGTCGGCCTCTCTCGTTCGCATACCTCGTATCAGCGCACCCCTCAAAAGTGAAGATATGGCAAGGACGGTGGCCAATACGAGGGCGGCGGATATGTAGGCGGGCATCCTCCTACTCCCCCCCTCCTCACCTGCCCCCACCTGTCGCCCATCACCTCGGGCCCCTCCCCCGCGCATCTCCTACGCCATTGCCCCCCCCCTCACTCATTCCTCCTCGCCCCCATCATCACCACCATCAGCATCATCAGCATCATCATCATCATCATCACCATCAGCACCAGCATCATCATCACCATCCTCATATTGAGCAACATACTCATCATCAGCAGGAGCATCATCAGCATCATCACCATCGCCATCGTCATCATCACCGCCACCACCACCGCCACCATCATCATTATCATCACCATCATCATCACCATCAACATCACCATCACCACCATCATCATCGCTATCATCACCAACACCACCGTCATCATCACAACCATCACAATCGTCATAATCAGCATCGCCATCATCATCCAGATCGTCAGCGTCATCATCATCACCATTAACATCATCATCATCATCATCATCATCATCATCATCATCATCATCATCATCAGCTCCGCCCTCGCCGTGGATATCAGCGTCGTCGTCTACAGTGTCGCCCCTCCTCGTGCTCACCGCCGCGTTATTATTGCACACATACACGTCCTTTCCTCAGGGAGGACGCTGTATGCTGGTGGTGGCGATGGGGAGAAAGAACGACGATGCTGATGGTGCTGGTGGAGGCGGGGTCTCCTCCGTAGCATCATCCGCATTCGCATGCTCCATATCGCCCTCCCCATCCGAAGAACATATACGGCGATAATTGGGGCTTGCCCCCCTCTTCATCCGTGACGCATCCCCCCTGCTCCTGCACGGCATCATACTCTTCATCTCCCCCGCGTTACTCATGACCCCACCTACCCAATCCTCATCCTCACCCCCATCGCCGACATCATTCTCATCTGCACACTCCGCCTCAGCACCATCAGAGCAGATCCCGCTCTTCGGGAAGGAGAATCTGTCGGACAATCGCGTCGGAAGCGGGGTGGGGATGATGGAGCAACACATGGGAAGACGGACAACGGATGAAGACGGAGAGGGGGTCCTCCTCATCCCTCTTCCGAAACATTTCTCTGCACCACGTGCCCCATCCACACCATCAGCATCATCACCCTTCGCATCATCATCAACACCATCATCATCATCATCATCATCATCATCATCATCATCATCATCATCATCATCATGGTCGGAATCGTCCCGCGTGTACGTCGCCGCATGTTTCGCCGGTGGAAAGCATTACGTCATCATGTGGTGTCCGTGCACCCCCCTCCTTGGCCTGGTGGTAGTGATGCTGGTAGCACTCGCAGTAGTAGTAGTAGTAGTAGTAGTAGTAGTCGTAGTAGTAGTAGTAGTAGTAGTAGTAGGAGTAGTAGTAGGAGTAGTAGTAGTAGTACGATTAGTAGTAGTAGTAGTAGTAGTAGTAGTAGTAGTACAAGAAGTAGTAGTAGTAGTAGCAGTAGTAGTAGTAGTAGTAGTAGTAGTAGTACAAGTAGTACAAGTAGTACAAGTAGTACAAGTAGTAGTAGTAGTAGTAGTAGTAGTAGTAGTAGTAGTAGTAGTAGTAGTAGTCGTAGTAGTAGTAGTAGTAGTAGTAGTAGTAGTAGTAGTAGTAGTAGTAAATGTTGTTGTAGTTGTAGTAGTAGTGGTGGTAGTAGTAGTAGTAGTAGTAGTAGTAGTAGTAGTGTCGTCGTCGTCGTGGTGGTGGTTTTAGTAGTAGTAGCAGTAGCAATCGCAGTCGTCGACATCGCAGTAATCGTAGTAGTAGTAGTGGTAGTAGTAGTAGTAGCCGTAATAGCAGTAATAGTAGTAGTAGTAGTAGTAGTAGTAGTAGCAGTAGCAGTACTAGTAGTAGTAGTAGTGGTAGTAGTAGTAGTAGTAGTAGTAGTAGTAGTACAAGGAGTAGTAGTGGTAGTAGTAATAGTAGTAGTAGCAGTAGTAGTAGTAGTAATAGTAGTAGTAGTAGTGGTGACGGTGGTAATAACAACCGTAGTGATGGTAGTCGTATTAATAGTCATCATCGTCGTCGACGTAGTCGCAGTCGTCGTAACAGTATTAGTAGTAGTAACAGTAGTATTAGAAATAGAAATATAAATAGTAATAGTAGTGGTAGTGTAGTGTAATCGAAAGTGTAGCAGTAGTCGTGGTAGTAGTCGTACTAGTAGTCGTGGTAGTAGTCGTAGTAGTCGTAGTAGTCGTAGTAGTAGTAGTAGTAGTAGTAGTAGTAGTCGTAGTAGTAGTAGTAGCAGTAGTAGTAGTAGTATTAGGAGTAGTAGAAACAGTAGTAGTAGTTGTAGTAGGGGTAGTAGTAGAAGCAGCACCGGTAGCAGTAGCAGTAGTAGTGGGAATAGTAGTAGAAGAAGTTGTGGCAATTGTGCTAGCAATAATGCCAGCAGTCGCAGGAGCAGCAGTAGCCTTGGTAGTCGTAGAAAGAATAATAATGCTGATCGTAGTAAGAGTAGTAGTCGTAGTGATAGAAGTAGCAATCAC